TCGCGATCGGACGGTCCAAATCAATACGATGGACGGTCCAGATAAATAGAACGAATATAAATAATCTTTTCACACCAAAACCTAACCATAGCCATTAAACACCCTCGCCGGAGAAGAAGACCCAGCCACCGGGAAGGAGAGCCGTCGCCACCTGCCGCTGCGCAGCAGCTACTTCCGACCAACAAAAGAGGTAAAAATTTCTCCATTTGCTTGAAATTTAATTTTGAACACCTTCATGGAAAAATTGAAGCAAAAAAATATGCCGATTGGCCGAAAATCACAGGAAAAGCACGGCAGCGACGCCGCAGAGAATTTTACAAAATACCTCCGATCAGGCCCTTCTCGATTCCCGTTCGGTGTAATTTTTCCACCATTATTATCACTATTTCCTTCTCTAGAGGTTGACCTAAGCAAAACACCCAACCGCAATGTGAGTCGGAAAAGCCGCCGCACTAGAGAGCCCCGCCACTAGTGAGTTTAAGTTTTTTGTGTTTTTTCGGCCAATCGAGACCCCTTAACGTATTTTCTCATAGGGATTGATGCAAAATCGGTCGAATTCGGCCTAAAACGGCCAAAAATATTCGACTCGAGACGGATTGCCACTGCAGGTGGCAGCGTTGTTGCCGGAGCACAGCGAAGCCACCACGCTAAAATTGGCCAAAATTGGGTTCTAAGATTAATTTTGGGTTTTTTGGGACATTTGTATGTATTTATAGTGCGTTTTTCCAAAGAAAATTCAAGGAACCCAGGGACCGCCAGTAGGCGCAATCAACAGTTTAGCCTTTTGGGCATCAAATTGAATAAGAATCCCTCACTTTATCCCTTGTTATGGAATTAAAGTTTAATTAATAATAATACGGTATTTTGTATAAATTAAAAAATATTCGTAATTAATTACACGTTACTAATAGAGCCGAAACCAGTTACTTATTACTGTTTGTTATATTTAACTGATTATCTGATTTTACAGTTTGAATGCATAATAATATCTTATTTATCAATTTTATGGTCTGAATGCATGTATTGCTGCCTTATGTGACTACTGTTAAATTGAGAAATCGAGATATGATTGTATTCTCTTATGCATGTTTGTTTGTCTATATGATTACGGTTGAATTGGAATAGGGAGACTAAGGAAAAAATAAAAAATGATGTGATTAAGTGAATGGATAAAACGACAGCCGTACTAGATATTCTGAAAAATGGTGGACAGACTGGGTACAATAGGAAATCTTATCGTGAATGTTGTCTCATACCGAACGGGGTATAAGACGACCCTTTAATTGAGAATATTAAAGGAAATGGTTCACGCATAGCGGGGACATCCCTATAAACCCCCATAGATACCAACAGATTGATGAAAAAGGGATAGTGGTTATTTAATTTATTGAATATGGATTTATAATGTCTGCATGTTACCAATTGTATATGAAATCATGATAAGTGCTATGTTTTTATCTTTATAAGTTGTTTTTATAAATATCACTGCGATAAGTGGACAGTAAATGGTTTTATTATTAATAAATGTATTTGTTCAATTAAGTACTCCATTAGTTAGTTTGATTTTTTACTAGCCTTCATTTTTATGTCGTTGAGTAGCGTGATATTCTTAGTAGAGTAGTGTAGCTCATTTCTTATTTAACCATTTCAGATCAAGAAACTGGATCTAGAGCCTGATCTACATG